CCCCAAGAGATTTTTCATTTTTTTTGAAAAATAAAAGTGCTACCTAAAGTTTTTTTTTTCAAGCTTTGTTCAATTTAGTTTTTTATAATAAATTTTTGCTTTTAAATTAAATATAAACATCAAGCTTTTTTATATTTTATTTCAATTATTTTTGAAACTCGAGCCAACCCAAGTTTCCTAGATCACTGGTCAATCTATTAAGTCAAATATTTAAAGCATTAAATAATAAAATTTTATTTTGATTTTTTTTAGAATTTAATCCTTATTTAATTTTTATTGTTATTGTTGACTGATTTTTATTTATAAATTTACTGATTTAAAAAATTTTAATTTTACTCTTCAATTTAATAGTTAAAAATATTTAAAATTTCAGCTTTCAATGTTTTAATTTTAAAATTTTATTCTTAGATTGGTTTGGTGGCATTTATTTTGAACTTTTTTATTCATTAATTTTATCTTTTATCATTAAATTATTATTTGCAATTCTCTGTTACCTTTTCTTTTAAATACACTGCATTGTTTTTTTACACTTCCAAAAAAATACGTTGGCCATAGCAATTAGCCCATTGCAGAGAACGGGCAAACTATCTAGTTTAGGTGAAGCAAAAATGAGCACATTGACCGCACACTCAACGTTTTTATTCTTAGCTCTTTTATTAAATTTTACCCAGGTTTGGTGGTATTTATTTTTAACTTTTTTTAATTCAATAATATATATATATATATATATATATATATATATTATCTTTCAACATTATAATTCTTGAGGATTGATTATTATTTTCAATTCTCTTTCTGTTATTATTTTTTTAAAATATACTCACGTTTAAGCATTTATTTTTTTACACAAAAAAAATCAACCCAGCCCACAGGAAAGAACGGGCAATCTATCAAAATTTTGGTAAAGCAGAATTAGAATATTGATCGCACACGATCTAGGGTCTACCGCGGCCAGAAATATAGATTGCAAGTTCATAAAACAGGTATATACCCCGGTTAGTACTCGGTGGGCACACCACTACCGAGGAATCTGATCATGCTATACATCTAGATGAGTACACGGCCACAGATAGCAAATGGATCCGGCTGAGATTCAGGCGCCACCAAAGCATTTTCGGAAGCAGGAAAAACTTGATGGTGCTGGTGACGGCTCGGGCTCGGGCTTTTTTGGAGGGAGATGCTTAAAGAATGCTTTTACTGCTCCAGTGGCACCATCCTCATTCTCCATGGCCTTAGCGAGATCCACGGCCCGCTCCTTGACCTAAAATGTTAAAAGTTCGTCAGGTAAATTCTCGGCCCAGAATTTGTTGCAAATAATACAAATATATTGATAGTGATCATCATTTCGTAGCTCCTGGAATCAAAGTGGAGGCAAAGTTCCAACATTTTTTTGAGAGGCTTACTGTTTGCTTTTCACCTGAAAATAACTATAAATGTTTTTAAACCCATTGGTTCCTCTCCAAATAAATGCACATCGAATCTTTTGCTCCTTGGTGCCAGCACCCACATACTGTAGCATGCGGCCAAAACTAGAGAGATGAAAGATCACTGCTGGTTTATGGTTTTAGAAATCTATAATAATGAACTACTGAGTTTTAATTCCACGTTAGAGGATCTAAACAGAATATAGAGTCCTGCTGACTGCTAGGAGATAAGCCCAAGTTCGAACCCTCTTAATGTCCTTCATATAGGACGTCGTGCCAGAAAGGAAAAGGAGCAGACTGCATGTGGATTGTAGATTTTGACATTATTTTCTTTGTTATCCTCAGCTAATATATATCGAGTGATTTGACATTAACTTGGGATCTAGCGTGAAGTTTATTGCATCAACCAACTTGAGTGATTTGACATTACCTTCGGATCTAGCATGAAGTTTATTGCACCAACTAGCTTGGTACAGGAGAACTCGTCAACAGGTATGGGTGGAGGACCTACTCCTCTCGCATGCACCCGCTCGCCCCAGAAAGGTTGGTCGCCAAAGAAAGGCACGATGGTTGTAGGGCACTACATCACAGAAGAAGGATGAAGAAAAAAGATTGACAGGACATCACACAGAAATATATGGTAAAAACAAGCTGCAGCTTATTACCGCAGCTTTAAGACCAGCAGCTGTTGTTCCAGCACCTCCATGATGAACCTGACAGTAAAGTGCAAACTAATAACAATGGGACACCAAGTTCGAAAAGAAAATACAAAAATTTAAGAACAAATAATATACTCAATCAACATCATCATCAATTACTCAAACTTTTCCACTTCCAAATCTTTCATGTTTCATGGATTTTGATGAAGTGACAGTTGTTTCTCAAGCATTATATCCAACTGACAAAGCTATAGAATTAAGCCTTACCACTGCCTTGCATTGCAAGAATAGCCAATCGTGAGGGCAGTTATCCAGTAAGTATATATAGTCCTTCGGTTCTGCCACTAAAGAGGAACCAAAATAAGCTAAATAGATGGCATGCAAGACCCTGAAGATGCATATACTGTGCACAGAATACAACAGGAAAAGGAAACAGCAAGAATTTTTAGTGAACACATAAAAGTTTAAAGGGGGAACCAAAAACTTACAGTTACCCAGGCCGCCCCAGCCTTTATTAATGATGCCCCTCTGCCCAGTTTGTTCCACCGCTTCAACAATTGTTTGGGTCATTTTTTCTGGTTCTTCCACAGGCTGACATGAGTACAGAGAATGTGAGGAGAAAGAAATCATCTAAAAAGATTGAGAGAATTGAGAGAATAATCGTGGGGGCAGGGGGTTGGTTTCAACTAGTGAAATCCTTTTATATACAGTCAACCTTCTTGGTATCAATTCAAGACTCAATTATTGGCACTGCCTTCGATGTAGACCGAATACACATACAATTTACATTTCAAGCCACATACTAGTCCAAACATAATGGAGACCCACATACGGAAAAATTATTGCACATATGGTCATTCAATTAAAAACCCTCGGAGGAAACAACACATTTCAAGTCCTATAACAACAATATGTACTACTTATATCGCATGAGACGCCCAACAGATTACATCGAATGGGATTATCTGACCAGGAAAAGGTTTCTCCATTGGTGATCTTTATTGAACTGCAGTTGCTTAAACTTGCATTATTCACTTCAAACAAACCAAATAAAAATGAAAAAGTATAGTCTTAGCCAGCAAACAAATAGGTACTCTTTCGTGTTCAAGAATCTCTATCATACCCCCGACAAAACAGCATAAAAGGAATATATTACAACCATGTTCAAGATTCCATGATGCACACGTCTGAACATACATTTACAAGGCTACCAAATCAATTACAGACCTTAGATTTCCTTTAAATAACCAAACAAAAAAATCAAAGAAAGAAAGAGGAAATGAACTCACAAGGCTACCAAATCCAATATAAATAGGTTTCTGACCAGCCTCAAGCCATTTCAAAAGTGATTCCGGAGGTTCATAATTTGATGCTAGATCAAGAAAGCAGAAGCCGACCACATCAATTTTAGGCCCCCAATCTGCACACCAAGCAAAAAAAAAAAAAAAACACAAACTAGGATTAGCATCCTTCCAATAAAAGTCATGCCTGCTCGAGTACCAGGTCGTTTCATATAGCATAGTAAAACTACACTTTCTTTACCGAAAAAGGGATGAGAGATAAGCAGAGAATTTGTACATAATATGAATAAACCATCTGTAAACATCATGAATCATGGCTGATAATAGTTTGTTTGTGGTCACTTAGCGAATATTAACAAACTAGCTCAAACTTGACCACAAACTCATTCAGTAAAGGAACCAAGCTAGGATAAGACTAAGCTCTACTGATTTCTATAAGCAAGGAGGATCAGAAACGAACTATATGGTCCATATCAGGCTCATTTTACAGATCGCTGTTTGAACTTTGATTTATCTTATTTATATCCATTGCACCCCTTTGAGTCAAAACCAGAACAGGGACAAACTCAACACTGCAGAAGGAACCATCCTCGAAACATTCTATGATTTGTTATATTAGGTAGCTGCATATGCAAGTCTTCTATTTTAGAGTTCAGGACTCCTGACTATTTAATAAGCCTGTACGAGTTTGAGTTTAGCTATTAAATTATAGATTATTTCAAATAGAATGAACTTGGGTCGGCTCTTGGAAACTCAAGTGGAGATTGGTTCGAGCTCAAACTTGATAAAAAGTTTACCAAACCAAGTGCGAGCTGTGCCCAAAGCTTGACTCAGTTCACAACCTTACCAAGAAAAAAGGGTACCTTAAAGCTTGGATAATAGAACAAGTTTTTTTTTCCAAAAATTTATAAAAGGCAAAGCATGTAGTGATGAAAAAAAAGATCATTACAAGAAATATGTTCAAGCTTATCAAGACACTGGAAGCTCAAAGCATAGTGAAGAAAGTAGAAGCTAGCTAGCCATAAGCACTCTAGTTCAATTACCTAAGGGGATAGAATTTACTGCAACAAACAAAACAATTTAAGGTTCCAGTGCTGCCAATTAATCATCCTTTTGTCTAGAACAATAACCCTGATTGTGTAATATTAGAAAGACATACAAGTGGACATGGTAGAAAACAGTTTATGGTCTACTAAAGGGATAAGAGAAGAGAGAAACTCAAGCCACAAGCCTTAATTCAACGGGATAAAGGAGAGGAAGACTCCTAGTAGAAGTTGGTTTGAGTTTTTACCGCTGTTTAGTTCCAGCAGAGCTGTATCAGAATTGTAGGGTTGCTGAAATTTCAATAGGAGTCTAATATATAGGAATTCATGTCCTATTAGGATTAGGAGTCACTCAAGCATTATAAATATGCTTGTAGTATTTTGATTTCTAGTAGAGAAATTTTTTATTGAATAAATGGCAGCTTTTTCTAATATGGCTTTCAGTCCAGGAGTGAGTCCACTATAAGATTTTTAGGGAGAAATGTTTTTATTGAATAAATTTAATGTGAGGGTAGAAGTTTTTTTTTTTTTTCCCTCAATTTCTTTACTATCTATTCTGTTTTTCAATTCCTAAAAGTCCTAAAACTTCATATTCTACAAAACTAAACTAAACAGTCAGCTACAAACATTTTCCTAGAGTTGCCCTGCATCAGGACAACCACCCAATATGAAGAGGATAACATTATGAATGATAGCTGTAATTACTTAGTATTGCACAAGAACAGCACAAGCCAGTAAGCTATAATATAAGATTTTGACATTCTCACAGTATGCAGCACCTTTTGGTTTAGGGACAAGGTGAGGACTCCATAAGTATCCATGTGGGACATCAGAGTCAGATCCCTGTGAACCACTGAGATACGTGACAGGTCGTAGCTTCAACTTTTTTTTCCTAAGATCATTTATCATGTCCCGTATTCCAAGCCAAATCAACGAATCAACTATTTGATATGAAAGCTACAGAAATTCAACATGGACAGAGTAAGTCAGAATAACCAAGATATTCTAAAGAAATCAAAGCTACAACAAGAACCAAAAGGGAAAAAATTCAATGGCTCACTCGATATCCAGCCGGTTGCTTGACACGGGACAAGGGATGTGGAAATTCACTAGTTGGCCTGGCAAGAGATGATAAAAAAATTGCTTAAAACAGTTAAAGATTTACCCATCAAATGATGTATAGAAGTAAACACTGATAGAAACAGGGAGAAAAAGAAAATCTGATGAACAGTTACAATGAAGCTACATTCAACTCAGCAAGATTCCATTACCCAGGGGAGACTTACGTCCACGGCATGGTGAAAAATATATGAAGCGGAACTTTTAGTGCCTCTGCCACATGAGTATGCCCTAAAGAAACATTTCAAGGGTAAGTTGCATGATATCAAACACGAAAATATAAAGACAGGTTGAAAATCTCCATGTAAGAAACAGCCAGGTATGTTCGCATACTAAAGAAAAACAACATGGGCAAATACTTGAGAAAACTGAGAGGGGGGATGCACATCCAAGGAATTTACAAATAATTACTACAGGAGGAACAAGAGCAAGAGGTTTGCAGATTGTCTTTCCCATAAAACAAAAATGAGCAAACCGAGAGAAATATAAGTCATTTACAAATATATATATAAAAAAGCTTCCTTTCCTCAAACCCACTTCAAAAGAAAAGGGAGAACAATGCCAAATGAGGGAGCTATCAATATCTTGATCTTCGCATTAGGAAAGGACTTCTCAAAAAAAAAAAAAAAAGGAAATGAAAGCAATTTTAGACATTCAAGTTAAATGCCAGATATGAAACCGAAAATCACTACCAAAGAACAACTTCTTTAAAATCATTAAAAAGAACTCAAAATTATCATAGAAGCAACATTTCAAACATCTCCAAGGAAGACGACCAGTGTTCTGTAGAAAAATCTATTAGGTGAGAAAGTCATTTGTGGTGTTGCAGAGAATTATCCAGGAAGAAGTACAATAAAGCTACAAAACATCACCCTCCAAGTAGTGTTTGTAGCGGGATAGGTACTTCAAAGTTGAGAAAATTTGGATTTAAAGTTAATGAAAGTCTGGGAAACTAGGATTGAAAGGAATAAGTTTCCTTGGGCACTTGCAGGCTACAAATTAGACTGGCAACAACATAGTTTGGCGTTTAAGAACTCTTGAATGGTTTAATTTGATGGTAAAAGCTAGGGAGTTATGTTAGTTTTTACAGTTTAAGAATGGAGAAAATTTGAGGTTGAATAAACAAAGGAAGGAAAATGGAGTAATTTATCCTGAGGTACAGCGACAGCAGCATTTGGAAATCATGATCCCATTTGATGGAAGAAAAAGTACAACTAGGGTTTTATGTTGAACGGTTGATTATTGTAAGGAAAAATTGCGGACATGCTGGAAACTCAGCAGATAATTAAGAAAAAGGGTAATGCAAGAACGTTACAGCAGATTACAACTGAAGCACAAAACATATGGCAGATTCAAAGTAAGTAGTCTTACCATATGCTGGTGGATTGGCAATGATGGCATCTGCCTTAAAAGGGATGCCTGAATCAATATCAGGTTCCCTGCAGGCAGGTAGCAATGAGTATATAATATCTTTTATTTGATTTCGTTGAACGGATATCTCAGAAGGCCCTGATGGCAAGAAGCCTTTATTTTTTACCATGTCTGCTCATTAAAGCCAAAAAAAAAAACAATGAAAGTTATTGAAGGAGCTTATAATCTGAATTTGAACAAGTCCAATAAAGCATAAACTCTAGTAGATCAGACTCGCATGTCAACAAAGTTATTTTTCAGACAATTACAGTCTCAAATATATTTTAAGAAATTCTTAACAGGGACTTGTGCTCAAAGCAACTTACTGGGGCTAGAAAGCTGTCTACTTAAAACAAAAAAAAAAAGATATTTCAGATAAATCCCCAAGATTCTCCGGTCAAACTCTTGCAACAAAAAAATTGTCTGCACTCTTTCATAATATATACAGAAATGAATTAAAAAACAAAAGCATGCATTATCTGTTGTCAGTGATACTGGGTTCTACTATTGTTTTAGTATAACTTAACCTTTTTTGTCCATGCTGATTAATTCACAAGTAGAACTCTATAACTTCGGCAAAAGATTACACAAATTTTGATTTGTTATAGTGAATCAGCAATGCATATTTGCCCCAAAAGTACCATTGACAGGCTGCAACGTGATTAATACAAACCATGTTGCAAGAATTCTATCAATGACATAAGAAATACGGAACCATTTCAAAAGACTAAAACATAAAGATTAGAGAGAGACAGAGAGAGGACCAATAAATTTTAAAAGAAAGTGGCATTTCTTGATACATACAACCAGCAAGAACTTTAGGATCTCCACCCAAAGGAAAAAACTCCAACCCAGCTGTCTCGACAAATTCTTTGAAATTTGAATGAGTTGCTAGTCTAACACGATGGCCATAATCCTGCGCAAAAAGTGCTTGTTAATGAACCAATATTTGCAAACAAAAACTCCTAAAAAAAATATTCTGCAACAATTCAGCCTTGTATATACAAACTCTTTCATTGTAAATAATCATGGTGTTAACAAAGAAAATGTAACTTAAGATTTTCTTGTTTACATAACAAAACAAGAAGCAAGCTTTTTCTACAACTAATACTTAGGAAAGCACACATCGAGGCACTATAAATAAGACAATTAGAAAGGTAAGCCAAAAATGATGAGGGTGACAAACTGCAGCAACAATGGTCAACGGTGAAATTGTACCATCCTTCATATTTTATTCAAAGCTTCTGCCGAACAAATAGAAAACATCTTACACATGATTATATTTGAAGATCAAACATTCAAACACATGTTCATGGATAGAGCTCATAATGAAAAGCTGAAAATAGAAAATAAGCATCACAACTAACCTGTAGACGTTTACCAATTGCAATAAACGGTTGCACATCTCCTCGTGTGCCAACAATAAGCATTACTATTTGCAGTGGTGGTATATATTGAGGGCCCGTTGCATCAAGAGGCTCATCATCAACTACTATATTATATATATCATCAGATCCAACACCAGGAGCTTGGGGTTCTACATCCCCTGGAACCTCAAATTCTACCGTTCCATCATGTTTGACACTAGCTATTCTTTTCAACAATTTACGCTGCATAGTTTTAAAAAATCAAATAAAAACGCTAAGCAAAGTTCCATCATCTTCAACAACTTAAACACCGCAGTTTTAGGAAATAAAAACCTAAACCAACAAGGAAAAACAAATCACTCTTCAAAAATTTAAGTTATAAGGAAGAAATTTAACTAAAATTAGGAAAATGAAGAGTGCCAGTTAAAGTTCGAATCCGGTGCCTCAAAGCGTGCTAAATACACTTGCGATATTTAGAATATTAATCTTAATTAGGAAAATGAAGAGCTCAAGCAGAGATCAATACCTTCTGCCGAACAGGAATCTTGTCATTGAAAATTTGCGCAGCCTCCTCTGGAAGTATATTTTGATGTCTTTGCCCCTTCGTTTTGGTTTTGGATCTTTCTAGCTTGGAGAGCTGACTCGGAATTGGTTCCGTCGTAGTGTCGCCCCCTCTGATTCCTAACAAAGAAATCTATAAGCTCATAAAACCAACAGCTTTTTTCACACCATGCACAACAATGTTAACGGAATCAGAAACGAACACGGTTAAAACAAACCGATTTAAACTCGGATTACCGTTACTAACTGAAGCAACACCAGCTGCCTCTCTGCACTCCGATTCATCACCAACGCCGATTTCGCTTTCGATTCTCACAGGCGAAAAGGAAGAAGAAGACGAGCTCCGTCGCCGTGACTCCGCCATCGCCGCAACAGACTCCAGCGAGCTCTGCTTGTTCTGATCCAGATCTGACGGTAGTTTCTAACGTGAGAGTTCAGTGCGAGAGAGAGTGTTTGGATTCCGAGAAAAAAACACGTTAATAGGGGATTTTTTTTAATTTCCTTTTTCTTCTGAGCGGTGAGGAATCCTCGAATGCTTGAGGAGGGAAGGAGAGAGTGGAGTGGGTGTCGTGTCGAGGAGAGGTTGGGAGTGACACGCGTGCATTTTTACTTGCCGCTTGCTTTTGATCGCTGTCGATTACGATTTTTTCTGTTGGAAAGATGGGATGACGTGGAATGGTATCCGATTCTGTTATTTGTCTTTATTTTTTTTAGATTAATGTGGGTGTCCGGCCAGCTTGTGTGCACTACGACTAATCCCACGGACCCTGAAGTTAACGACCATATAATCCTCCAGTGGCCATCATATGAACAACCAAGGACTCGAACCTGAGACCACAGAGAGAATAAACCCCTTGATCCTAAGTAATAAGTCCTTATTACTTGACCACCACCTAAATGATTGTTATTTGTCTTTACTTGCTTTTGCTTTTGCTGAAGTTTTACGGGAAGTTAGCAAGAAAAAAAAAACTAAAAAATATTTAGGAATCTTGTTTATTTAGCTATTATTTGGTTTTGTGTTTCGAACGGGGTTGGTAAATTAAAAAAAATAATTATTTTTTATAGGATTTTTAATTTTTTGAATGTATTAGTATTAAAAATAATTTTAAAAAATAAAAAGTATTATTTTAATATATTTTTAAGCGAAAATTACTTTTGAAAAACAACCAATATCTCACTCTTAAATATCATTTTAATCAAGTTGTGGAAAAAATTTGAGACTTTTGTGTATAATATTTGTGAGTTAATAAAGAAATATAATCAAAGACCAGTTTCTTTAATTATTAACTTTTTATCTAAAAAAATCACAATTCAAATAATCAATATTTCAGTCTCTAAATATAATTTATATGAACAACATATAATATCTTCAATTATAGTTAATAAAATTAGACCAATCATTAATATAATATTTTATTAAACAATAATGAATTATGCATTTATTCATAATTCTTATAATATATTACTATATCTAATAATCATCACAGTTCATAAAAAGGCTTAGAGTACTTGTGGAGAGATTTCGAGCACCACCATAAATTGTCTAACTCGAATATGGGTTTATAACATTCATGTAGGGGCAAGGAGAGTCAATATCACCCAAACTCATTGACTGACTCAAGGCAATCATGAAAATACTTGCACCACTGCCCTCAACTAGTCCAACTTAAAGATAGATATGTGTAGCTGTCAACACCAATATCACCTTAGCTCACGGACGTTCATAATATCCTTGCGGACTAACCACCATCCCCAACACTCTTATAATAAGCAATCTCATCTTATGCTAATACCACTTCAAGACGATCAACCTCCTCAACATCTCAAAGTTCACCACAACACAAACTGAGCGTAGTGTTGGCCATAATACGTTTCATCTTATCGACGTCTTTATGAATAGTCGTTGTTGCTTTTTGAGCTCCCTGTCCTAAGTAATGAATTTATATACATACATTAAAAAGTAAATAGTACTTATTGTATATAATAACATTAAAAATATTCAATAAATGTTGTATGTAAAACAATATTGCATATCAATTAATTATATCTCAAATATCAAGGGACATGATACATCAAATTGTGTGGATGTCCCAAGAAACGGGATTAGATAAGTGTAATAAAATGACATATAATGGTTAAATATTATCTCATATAGGTATTTACATCACTCATCGAATATCACTTTTAAAAAACATAATTTTCTTTAGCATCCTAAAGATTTAAGTAAGATGTATAAAAATAATTCCCCTTACTTTTACTCTGACAACTAATATTATGCAGCTTGTCACCAGTATCAATATAATGTAGTATGTCTTGAGATAGTACAAGTTGTCGTATTATCCAATCTAGGCAATACTTCTAAGTATGTCGAAGTAGTGCAATGGGACCCCTGCTAGCTAAAGGTTAGATCCATTATGGCGAACATGTGAAGTTTAAAGTACCAAGTCTTTTTTATATAGGACATTTATATAACCTATCAGAACATATAAAAGATGTATATTGGATAATAAGTCAAAACTAAATAATTGACATTTAAATAACAAAAAAATATAATACATTTGTAACTCATACCTAATATGGTTTTCATGCACCCAACTCATCTTGGGAGAACTCATGGACATGAGGGTATTTACCATGAAATGTCTAGCCCCACACCATTTGAGATTATATATATATAACTTGTTGATTAGAATTTATTTTATTTTATTATTACATAGAACCAATGAATGACAACCTCATTACCCTAACTCTTTAGACAACAAATATGAATATGCTCTTAGTCAAGCTATATTAATAAACATTGACTATTTTAAGTTGGTATTTAAAATCCTATAAATTTTAACAATCAAATAATTTTAAATAATCATAACTAGAAAAATAATAGGCACCTTATAATTTGTCTTCTCTTCTTTAGAGATGTTTTACATAATTGCTAGTATAGATATGCAAGCATGACCATTGACTATAATTGAAAATGGCTAGAAGTCCTCAAGTTCTGTCAGAAAAAACATTGGTTTTGCATTACTTACAGTACTCGTGAAAATAAAATCTTTAAACATATGTAATATGATGTTTGATCATACATAACCAACTAGTTCTTTATCACATTTACTAAGGGTTCTTAAAATTTATGTCTGACCATGTTAATTCGATGCAGTTACCTATATAAGCACTAGTTGGAGGCACCACTCCTAATAGAAGATCATATAAAGCATCTCTATCAAATGACCTTCTACGTCCTATCATAAGAGCTCCATATATCATAAGGCTAGTCAATATGGTTACATCCTGCAACGTGGTTATCATTTTACCATTATATAAATGGAAGATATGTGTCCCGTGTCTCCATCACTTAATTAAAGTTGCCATTAATAAATGGTCAAGATATAAGTTACATGGCTGACTAATCTCGTAAAAAAATTTCTTGTTAACAAATGGGTAAATAAGCTTATGTAAGTCTATTAATGTATACAATCAAGATGTTACAAGAACATCATACTGAAAATCAAGCAATTTAGTTATTTAAACAATTAAAATAGTTAAATAGTGAGTGCCCCTTTAAAACATCTGACACGACTAAAAGGTTGATGTCTTCTCCCAAGTGCAGGAGTGTCGAAGTAATAAATAACCCGGCAAGACCAGGGTCGAACCACAGGGAGGTTAATTATACAAATTATAAACAACAATTATAAAAAATAATTATAAACAACAACAATAATAATAGAAGCAATAATAATACTAATAATAATAGTAGTAGTAGTAGTAATAGTAATAATAATAATAATAATAATAATAAAGAAAGAGAAGAAGAAGAAGATGATGATGATGAGAACTTGGAGATCAAATATTAATGTAAGGATTAAGCAATAATAATAACAAATGTCAAGGTTAGAGGTTCCACTAATGGTATATCAAACAAGTATAGTATAAACTCTTATTATTGAATTGGAAACCACACACAAAGGAGGTTCCAATCAGATTATATATTGTTAACATGATTACATTAGTCATCTTATTCAATTAATGCTAATACTTGTAAATCTCGTCAAACATTCATGATTATAACTTATGTTAACAACAAATCAAGTTCCTTTCATAGCTCAGGTGTCGGTTATACCATACATTATGGGCTATGAAAGTGCCAAGCATTTGTTGTACCAAGTGTTATACAACATAAATCAAGATTAATCATTTAACAAGCAAAGTATTAAAGAGTGAACAAGATAACAAATATAAAACATGTTAGTATCAAACATTAAAGTCCATATTAAGTTTACACTATACTTATTCTTACACCATTAGTGTAACCTTTTCACCTTGACATAACTAACTTAGCTAGACATAATGAAAGAAAGCAAAATAGATAAACAAAATAAGAACATAAAAGTTAACTAAGTAAAGGAAAGGAAATGAAAGGCATAAACTTAATATTAATGAAAACAAAGCATAAAAAATACAAAGAGAGAAAGGAAGAGAATGATCTTGATCTGGAAACCAAGATGCCTAAATGCATGGCAAATGCCTCCTTTTATAGGCCAAAATTGAGAACTATTGATTTGATGACTAATTGATAAGTGGGTGGCCAACTTTTGACTTGGTGACAATCCTTATCTTCTCTTGTCTGCCCAAAACGTCATTGATAACGTCAAAACTGGAGCCAGGTGCAAACATGAAAGTTGTAGGCAATTGTCTCAGCTTTCTTGTGTAAAAAATTCAGCTCATTTGGACTTCTAGAACTCCAGATATGGCCAAAATACCGAACAGTGCTCGGGCTGGAAGACAGATTCGGGCTTCTTTGTTGTTTCTACAATTTGGACTTGATAATGGCCTTTTTAGATCTTGGGCTCCATATGAAAGTTGTAGGCCTATGTCTTACCTTTCCATCCATATAAATTTGACCTAAATCTGAGATATATAGCTCTAGATATGACCCAATTACCGAACAGTGTTCCGGTTTGGATTGCACCGACATCTCTTTTCTAAGTTTGGCCATCTCTTTATCCTTGCAATTTAAGTTCTTCAAGTCATCAATCAATCCTTTCATTTATGTGATAGGCCTGCATTAAAAATAGATATTTACCATAAATTATAGGTATCTTATATTATTAGATACATTATTATAAAACATATTTTAGTTAAGGAGTTATTGATATTTCAAGTGCAAAATGATGATATAAAACCATGATAAAAATGCACTTTTAAGTACTAATCAACATCCATCTCATTATATAGATGAGTGGATTTTCTTTTACCCTTATTTGCTCACCATCTAGTTGGGCATCTATTTACATATGGACCGATATATGCAAGTCACAATGACATATTACGCAATGGTTAAAAATAAGGACTATATGCATTTTTATACTACAAGTTAGAGTAGGAATCATCAATAAATTTCACATAATTTATGTTTTAGGAGCAGGAGGTGACATGTATTAATCAATAAGCTCAACTAACTAAGCATCCCTATATTCCTCTTTAACTTTAACTCTATCAATGTGACGGTCATTTTCATCATCAGTTGGTTCAGATTCTCCATGACAATATGGAGCAAATATTATACCTAACTTGATGCGAATCAAGTAATCATGTGGTCACGCAACC